AGATGCCACTGAGTTTCCTTACACTGCATAGTCACTGTTATGTCATGTGGACACAGGAAGGTCAGTGTAGTTTTACGTTAGACATTCTAATGCTGGTTATAAACTTCAGCTTTTTCAGGAAGTCCACACTCATAGTTTTATTTCACACAGCATGATACAGTAAACCCCTGCTTTGCTCACCTTCTGTATTTTGTGTTTGGTCTTTTTCCCATGTTGTCATTTTTTGTTGTACTATGTGAAAAATCATTGTTTCCTGTTTATAATCTAAGTTTATGAAGCAAGATTAGTGGAGTATTATTAGTATTCAACACGATCATTGTAAAGAAGACTAATAATGGATGTAATACTAGTCTGATTTCAATTATTTTTCTTGCATTTCATAATACAAGTAAAATGTTATCAATCAATATGTTATATATCTTTGGAGTTTTAAAATGCCATATGCACTTTGAATTTTGGAAAATATTTTTTGACAAACATCAGGAACAGTTAGACAAAATTGAACCTGTTTTGTCTGATCTCTGTTAACATTGTTTATGATTTTCTGTAATGTCATTCTGTCATATTTTAGTCACATGTTCCTCCTCCTGATGTTCACTGTGTCTATCTCTGTCCATAATGATGTCATCATTCGTCTGCTCCCAGTGTTACAGCTTATTGTCTCACTGCTTGGAGATGCAAATCTCAGATGGCCTGAAGGTCCTCTTAAGCCACCTCATGTCACTGGAATACTGTGAATCTCCTGTGTGGCATTTATAGAAATATTAATAAAAGTTACTGCATATGAGATTAGAGTCAGCCATTAATTCCATTAATCTGGTCTTCCATTAAACAGGGGGGTTCACATTAATTTCTGGACAATTTCACTCCATGTTCTGTTTATTTTTAATGAGGAAAAATGCACTTAGACACAGCACAAGGCCACCCAGTAATGTGTCACTGTAATTATTTATGCTTTTCAGGTTTACATGACAGAGATCATTCTAGCGCTACTATCAACCTAATTGTAATATTTAGGGAGCATTTTAATGCTCCCATGTCAGTAATTTGTACCGTACATGGTTCACTCAAACCACACATGTACCAAGGAAACAATAGTATATATGAATTATACCATTGTCTCTCATATCAGTATTTAAGTGCTACATGCCAGCACATACAGCTGGCAGGTGACCAGGGCTGCTACTGTCATTGCATTTTGAAACTTGACTAAGGATACAGCAGGCTGAAGGTCGCTGGTAGAACGCTGGTAGAAATATGGAGTTTGTTTAGGTTTTACTCTGTGACTTTGTGTAAGTTGTGCAGTGTGTGTGCGTCTACATAAGAAGTGAGCAGTGTTTCTGTGAGGCTGGGCAGAGAGAGTGTGTGTGTGTGTGTGTACGCATGTATGGGTGAGCAGGTATAACTTACCTTATGGGGACACAAATCTGTTTAATTTTGCTATTACGTTGCTATTTTTCCAACGTGATGAATACCCGTGTTTTTCCCTTATGGGGGCCAGTTTTCTGGTCCCCATAAGGGAAAACTATTTTACAAAAATCCGTGACAGCAATGAAAAAACTAAAAATTCAAAAACTCTTGTATATTTTGTTTGGTTACCTATGGTAATGGTTAGGGTTGGGTAGGGTTTAAGGTTGTCATAATTAGCGTTAGCGTTTTTTCCATAGAAATGAACGAGCGTCCCCATGAGGATATGTTTACCCAACGTGTGTGTGTGTGTGTGTGTGTGTGTGTGTGTG